GCACCCTTGGGCACCTCAAGGAAGGGGCTCCAGCCTCAGGGCATGCCATAAACCCCTGACACCCAGCCACACAGTCACCACCTGGAAGAGAGGAAGACCGGCCTTCTGGGAGCAACTGAAGGCCCGTTTCCACCTGGCTCTAAAACAACCCACACTGCAGGCCAGAGGACCGACCAAAGGCTTCATGCAAGCCACAGCTGATGTGCCCAAGCATTGGGTGGGAACCCCCACATGGGGTCAACTTCTTGATACTTGCCATCATTGGCGGCATTACCGTGATGAGCATGCTGCCACGCTCATATGCCACACCCTTGAACATCAGCTTCAACTGGCCCACCAGGCTGCCAATGATGAAAACCATCTTCAATACAAAGCATGGCTCCAACAAGGCTACACCAAGGGCCTGAAAGGCCTGTTCCGCAGCCTGCGCAGCAGCGAATTGGCATGGGAAAGACCATACAGAACCTTGCCACCTGATGAGAGGATGACACAAAGACTTCAAGACTGGGGTAAGCTTTGGCAAATCCGGCAAGAAGACCAACCACCTGAACGACTTACCCTCCAAGCACTCGCCAAGCAGCAAGGACAGCAGCTAGAGCCTCTGACTCTCAGCCAACTCACGTGGGCGCTCCGCCACCTGCCTGATAAAGCTTGTGGTCCTGATGCAGTGACAGCACAAATGCTCCGAACGGCTCCCCCACTGGCTGTCAAGGCCCTTCTCAAGCTCTACCAAGAGATGGAAACCAAGGTTCAGCTGCCCACCCAACAGCAGATGCACATGGTGGTGATGCTCCCAAAAAACGAAGCCAAAGAACGGCCCATCACACTCACATCCCTGCTCTACAGGGTATGGTGTCGCCTGCGAAAGCCCTTGCTTGATGACTGGCAAAAACAACTACCAGCCACCATGCAACATGACAGAGCCAGACCAGGGGCACAAGTGCTCCATGAGGCCCTCGAACGGCTACTGCGACAAGAGGTACATCGAGCAACTGGACAATATGGAGTGACCTGCCTTATGGACATGTCCACTTTCTACGACACCATCAACCTTCAGCGACTCCAGACTGAAGCCCTGAACTTGCAGTACCCTCCACTGATGCTTGAAATGGCTTTGCAAGTCTATCATGGCCCCAAGGCCATAGTTGCGGAGCAGGAGATGACACCCTTTTTCACCGTCACCCATAAAGTCCCAGCTGGCTGCCCCCAGGCCCCTCTGCTGGCCAAGGCGGTACTCGCCCCAGCACTCCAACCATGGCAGCAAGCACATCCCAACATCCACCTCTCCAGTTGGGTTGACGATGTCGGTTTTGACACGGCCAGCAAAACCCCAGTCCAGGCAGCGAAAGCTTCTGTTGCCGCCTACCGAGACCTCCATGCAAGGCTCCAGCAACTAGGCCTTCAAGTCAATCCGAAGAAGACAGCCTTTGTCACCACTGACAAGGCCACTGATCGAGAACTCAGGGCTTTGCTCACCGAAAACGATCCCCAGATAGCGCCAGTCATGAGAGACTTAGGCATTGATCACCAGGCAGCCCGCAAGAGGAGGATCCCGGTGATGAAGCAGCGCAGTAAAAAAGCCCACCACAGGAAAATCAAGTTGAGGAGCCTCAAAATCCCAGCCCTCAAAGTCCGGCTGCGCCTACATAGGGGAGGCATTCAACCAGTTGCTCTATGGGGTGTCGAAAGTCAAGGCCTTGCACCACGCTATCGAGCGGCATTGAGACACAGCATGGCCAAGCACCTGGGCCATCACACGGGCGGCCTTCTGGATGTCATCTACGATATCCATGCCAAGCGCTACATCGACCCTGCAGATCAGGTCATCATACAGCACATCAGAGCCATCCATCACCTCATCCAAGCATGGCCTCCTGACCAAATGCCAACTCTTGAACAAGCATGGCAATCGACCAGACAGCAGCTGCAGGAGAAACAATACCCATGGTACACTGTACGAGGACCCTTGGCAGCCACGATAGTCTACCTCCTGGAATGGGGATGGCAACCGAGAGACCTACTGCATTGGCACCGGCCAGAAACCAAGCTGATGTTGGCTGAAGAGCTACACCTTCAGCAACCATGGTGGGTCATTGAGCGAACCCTTACCCGTGAAGCTCAACAGCAGCGCACAGCCAGACTCGCCAGTAAGCAATACTGCCAAGACTTGTTGACAGGACTGGATTGGCACACCTACAGGCAAGTGGGGAAACACCTCAAGCAACAACAACAGCACCACCTTGACGCCTGGGTCCAGGCGGCATTGCAGTTTAGAGATGCGCACCAGACCAAGACCTGCCCGCAGTGCCAAGTCCCAGCCACGGCAAAGCACATACTATGGCTATGCAAATGGCACAAAACTCAAAACCACGAACCCATGCCACCTGAGTGGATGGACCGCATCACCAGTCATGATGAAGAACGCTTGTGGGCACATGGATGGATACCTCTCGAACCACAAGAAGCAAGAACTCAGCAGCATCCACTCCAAGGACACGGCTGCTGGGCCGGCATGCAAGTCATCCCGCTCCAACAACACTGTGGCTGGGCATTCACTCTGGATGCTACTCCATCCACCTATGACCATCGCAGCCAGATGTGGATCTTCGGTCTTTGTGCCCACAACATGGCCCTGGGACAACTCAAGAAGCTGGGATCCATCACCGGGGTAGCGACAGGAGAACAAACCAAAGTCCGGGCGCTTTTTTTTTACCGGATTGGTAGCCCTCACACACCACACGGCAGACCATGTCAAGGTCATTGTCCAGCTGGCATCCGTCTGGGAAGCTTGGCACCATGAAAAGCATCGGCACCCCTACCACGACATCTTGGATGAAGTACCACCCCATGACTTCAAAAGAGTCACGGTGCTTTACATCAGCAAAAACACCAGGACACCAGATCAACCAGCCAACGAGCCGCAACTACGGCGAAGGCAAAGGGAAACAGCACTTGCAGCTTGGGAACGTGCCAAGACCCTGTACGACAGCAAACAGGAGGAATGGCAGGAAACCCTAGACCAAGATCACAAATTGATCTATGAGCATGCAGTCCAACGCCTCAGCAAAATCTTTGCTGACAGCCAGCACTATGTGCACCAAAAGGCTCCTAAGCACCAAGGCAAGCAAACGAAGCAATACAAAAAAGAGCTCATCAACCGCTGTCGACAGGCATGGGATGATGAGCACCACCACTGGGAGCAACACCAAAGAAGTGGATACCAATGCCGCAATTGTGGCCTGCGCATGCACCAAGGCCTTACCGCTGACATCCTGGAAACCAGGTTGGCCGAGCCCTGCCCTCAGAAGGTGTTCAATGAGGTTGTCAACTCGCCAGACAAGGAGCACCACCTGCCCAGAAAACTCACCAGGGTGCGGCAGATCAAGGCGCTGCTGGACAAACAGCCAGAGCAACCTACGCCAGGCCACCACCAACTGGCTGAAACCACTGGCTACCTGAAGTGCGTGGTGTGCAACCTCAACATCCACAAGAGGATCAATGAAGAGGCATTCAAAACTTTCATCCACAGCACCTGCATCAACCAAGCCTATCAGGCTGACCACCAAGGACACCACAGCCATGCACTCTGGCAAGTGGGCGAGCGAGTCAAATGCACGCAATGCGGCACTCAATGGAACTTGGATGGGCAACATCGCATCATTGCGACACAGGCCTTTCACAGGCCCTGTCGAGGAGCGGGTGGTAAACACACGCCACCGATCAGCACCTTCTTTCAGAAGAAGCAAGACAAGTCAAGCAGCCACAGCTCAGAGTCTTTCCCATCTGCTGCAGCAGCCAGCACAGGACCCACTCCCAAGCGTCTGCACTTCCCCACGGCCTTGGAGGAAGCAGAACAGGAGGCCCTCACTCACGGCATGTCAGCACTGGCCATGCCACCCAGCCAACCAGATGACACAGCCGATGAGGACCACCTCCCAGACATAGCAGTCGACTTCTTTTAGCAGTACCACCATGGATCCTGCCGAAGGCCAACTGAGCTGACCTGACACCCTGAGCTGGCACCCTGAGGCAAATGCCCAGCCTGAACCGGCCAAATGGCCCAGATAAGCAACTCTAGAAAAAAAAATACATACATACATACATACATACATACATACATACATACATACATA